CACAACCCCAAGATCAAGAGTTGCATGCTCTACTGACTGAGCCATCCAGGCACCCCTAGACTCCTCTTATAATAATACAAACATACATGTATTCTTTTTAAACATTTCTGGTTTGGGGTGGTTCTGCCTCTCCCTTTACGCTAACAGGTGTTCGCAGTGACTATAACCTCCATCATCTGGCCTTGTACTGATCAGAAGCAAAGGCAAGTTTAACCACCGAATTTAGCTGCTTTTTTCCTTTTCAGAGGAAATTATTTTATTTCAGGGAAAATAGGGTTCAGCTCTACCTCTGACTGCTCATCGCATTGCTTGAGTGGCCATGCCCGAGAAAGGAGAAGTGGGAAGAATGAACTGGGGGTTAAATACCTGTTTTCACGTGGCTTAATGTTTCTCCTTTCAGGTGTCAATCACGGAGACCTTAATGACCATAACATTTTAGTGGAGGCCATCAACTCAGCCCCTGAAGGTGCCACGTATCACGTGTCTGGGATTTTAGACTTCGGTGACATGAGCTACGGCTACTATGTGTTTGAGGTGGCCATCACCATCATGTACATGATGATTGAGAGCAAGAGTCCCCTACACGTGGGAGGCCACGTCCTTGCCGGATTTGAGAGCATCATCCCACTGACACCTGTGGAGAGGGGCGCCTTGTTCCTCCTCGTGTGCGGTCGCTTTTGTCAGTCCCTCGTCATAGCTGCACACTCTTGCCAGCTACACCCGGAGAACAAAGAATATCTCATGATCACTGCCAAAACCGGGTGGAAGCACCTGCAGCAGATGTTCAACATGGGCCAGGAAGCTGTAGAAGAAATCTGGTTTCAAACTGCCAGGTCCTACGACTCTGGGATCGCCATGTGACTAGGCGAAATTTCACATTAGCTTGGATGGTGAAGAACCCAGAAGGACCAAATCTAATTCTATGAAGGATTTCCCTGCACAGCGAAAAATGAATTGATAGAACTGATCGGTGCACATGAACCCTCTGAGCACTCTCACAACCACTTTTTAAGTCTAAGAAAGTGCCCCCTGAGCAAGCGTGTCTTTCTGTGGGTCTCGCTTGCCTCATGTATAAAACACAGAGTGATGTTTTGACTCAGTCAATCTCTCAAGGTGTATATATTCCAGCCCCAAGATCAATGACTGTTTACGCTTTGAAAGGAACACAAACATAGACATGTTCACGTACTTTAAATTACCGAGTGTAGCACAGAGGCCTCACTGTCATATCACCAATTCTGCGAAGACTTCTCCTATTGCTCTGTGTCTCTAGAACCCTGTGCTGTCTTTTCCATGGCACATCACTCAGTATCACAGATGATGGCTGCGTAGTCACGTGGCCCAAGAGCTATTTGAGGGCAGAGACTGTGAAACAATTTTTTGTCTCCCCTGTCTTTTTTTCTTTTGCACCCGATACAGTGCTTTCCCCATGGTTTCAAAAAATATTTGCAAAATTCATGTATGCTAAAAGAAAGGTTGGAGAAGATAAGGCAGAGACTAAGATGCCTTAGGAGGAAACACAGATGGTGTTCCTGAGAAAAAGTCTGCCTTTGAGAGGACACTTGAAGCTGGAACTCTAGAGACCGATGCTGGAAGATACTGGACCTGCCAGGAGGTGAGAGGGCACGCAGGCAGGGCCATGACTCCCGAGGCACAAATACAACGGTCAGTTTTCGATTGATACCAAGAAAGTCTCTAAGATGTCCCCCAAACCTGTCTCATTTGTGGCTCTTTACACATGAAAATGTGATGTTGGTGGGGCGACTGGAGGACTCAGTCAGTTGAGCGTCCAACTTTGGCTCAGGTCATGAGGGTTCGAGCCCCATGTCGGGCTCTGTGCTGACGGCTCGGAGCCTGGAGCCTGCTTCGTATTCTGTGTCTCCCTCTTTCTCTCTGCCCCTCCCCGACTCATGCTCTGTTTCACTCTCAAAAATGATTAAAAAAACATTAAAAAAAAAGAGAAAATGTGATGTTGGTGAACCGTGGTTCACTGTATACTTGATGTTAATGATACCACTGTTTCCTTCACTGATTTCTCTGCACGTCTCCTTCAGTGTGATTTATTAAGTGTCTGTTTACTTATTCTTGTGGGTCTAACTATCTGTTCTCTAAGACGACTCAAGTCTACAACCCTTGCCATGCAAACCCCCGTTCAATAGCTGTCCCTTTCAGTCTATATGAATAGCTGTTGCTTCCCTGCCTCTGCAGTCGCCCTATTAGTGTGTAGTTGATAGGGGTTTATCCCCTACCATTCCGGAGATTACGAGGGTTCTAGAAGCTTTGTGCCAGAACCTGGACGAAGACTAAACCTGTATTTCTTACTATGTCATATTATTTTACATGCATTATCTCATTTTATCTCCATAACAAACCCATGAGAGAAGTAGTGGTATGATTAATCCCCATTAAAAAAAATTTTTTTTTAAGTTTATATTTGAGAGAGAGACATACACACAGAGTGTAAGCGGGGGAGGTGCAGAGAGAGAGGGAGACACAGAATCTGAAGCAGGCTCCAGGCTCGGAGCTGTCAGGACAGAGCCCAGCACGGGGCTCGAACTCACGAATTGTGAGATCATGACCTGAGCAAAAGTCGGTGCTAAACCGACTAAGCCATCCAGGCGCCTCTAATCCCCATTTTCAGACGAGGGATTTGCTCAGAGACAGCCAGGGCCAGGGTCCCAACCCTCTCCTCCTACCCCCCATGCAAGCGCATGCGCGTGAACACGACTGTGTTGGGATCAAATGAGATCACTTACATGAAAGCACTCACACTTCCCAATTTAAGGCATTGTATTTTTCTTAAAGATTTTGTTCTATTTATTTTGTAAAGTAATCTGTACTCCCAAAGTGAGGCTCGAGCTTAAGACCCTGAGATCAAACTGACTGAGCCAGACTGGCACTCCCATTTTTTGTTTGTTTGTTAATCAAGCTTGACATTCAGGAAATTAGGGACCAGAAAAAATGAACTGAATCTTGAATTTCACCCTCAGAGCACACCCTTAATAAATGGCTGGAATTAGTGCGTTTCTACAAGTGCCAGTCTCTGGTCCTTTCGACCCATGAGGAGAAAACCCATTCCTAGATTTGGGGATCAGTACCACATGCACAAGAGAGACTCTGCTCTTGCCAGTGTCTTTTTCTGTCCAGGCTCTTAAACCCTCTTGTACTGCAAGGGAACCCTACGTTCCGATATTCCTATCCTTAATCTCTCCAGCCTACAGCCACCATCCTAGAGGCAGATAACAACTCTAGCTACATATACTACCGTGTGACAATCTAACCAAGAACTTACCCCAACCGTAGGCTTAAATCTCAATCATTTTATTATCTCATGGATTCTGCAGGTATAAATTCAGACAGGCGCTGGGATGGCTTGTCTCTGCTCTACAAATGCTTGGCCCTCAGTCGGGAAGACTTGAGCACTAAGGGAGATTTGATGGTTGAGGGAACTTCACGGGGACTAAAACTTTCTGGAGCAATCTTCACTCACATACCTGGCAGGTAATCCTGGGACCTCGTCTCGGCTTGTGGCAGAATAACCCTCTGCATTCTAAGAATGACCATCCCAAGAGGACAAGGCAGAAATATATCATCTTTTATGACCGACCACTGTAAGTCACAGGCCCACCCAGATTCAAGGCAAGGAGACACAGGACCTCTGAATGGGAAGCATTCACACCACGCTGTAAGAGGAACACGTGGGCTGGGAGATTGTGGGGCCTCACCATCCTAAAACATCACTTTGATCCTCCCTCTTACTGACGAAAAAAATTCTGGCATTGAAGGCCTCTTCTAAATTGACCTCAGATGCCTTTCTGCCTTTACTTCCTTTTTGGTCCTATTTATTCTGGCCAGACTGAACTGCTCCATCCCAAACTTGTCAGGCTCATCCTTTCTTCTGCCTTTTTATCTCAACTGATCTGTCTTCTGTTGACCTGAGATTCTGCCTCTCACTTAAAACTCTGAGCTAACACTTGCTTAATTCTGCAGAATGAACTAAGGTGGCAGGAATCCCCGGTGGTTCTGAGTTAGTTAGCATCACCTGAGGATGCCCTCAGAGCACCACCGGTCTGGGTGGGGCCTTTTGTCATTTTGGCTCCTGTCCTTGTGTGCCCAGGAAGCAGAAATGACAGGAAAGGCCTCAAAATACAACTCATTCCCAGGCAGC